AAATTTTATATTTTAAAATTTATATAAAATGAATAAAATTTGGAGAAATGCATTAAAGCATTGCGATTTAATATATAAAGTCAGTAAATATATTTTTCTTTTGATAAAAAGTTACTAATTCTAAATCAAACTTTCTATCTTCTTAAAAACTGTATAAAAAAATTATATAATGAACAATCTTTTTCTGACTCGCACAATTATTAAATCAACTTGATAATATATTAGGTGTGAGAAAAAGTTCGTGGCGTTTTTTTAATGCCATCTAACGGGAAAAACGCCACGAACTTTTTCCCACACCTAATATTATTTACAATGATGCAAAATTAAATTTACAATAAAATGCAAACTGAGTGAAATTTAAATAAAAATTCGTCTGATAATTCTTCGAACAAATTTTTATTTTTCATGACAGCTGCTGTGACTTATGTCGGCCTTCAACTTCTTTTATTCTTGAGTTTACAGTTCATGAGCCTTTATTGCTCAACAATAAATTTATTATTTTACTTTATTAATCAACAGTGTTTTCTTTCCTTCATTCACGCATTATTAGCCGCGATCACAATTCAATGAACGCTAATTAATCACTAATCCATCATTAATCAATTCGTCGCAATCTGCGCGCGTGACCTCATAATTTTCATAAAAAATATCATCAACATAGAATATCTGTTCTTATCACTGTGTTTGTCCCTATTAATGTGCTTTTGGTTTAAATAAGCCGTAAAGAAACTTAGCATAAATAAATAAGAAAAGATATTTTTTTAAGTTAAATTATTAATTTATATGACACCAAAAATAATATTCTATTTTTTTAACTATTAAAGTATAGTAATTTTTTAAAAGATTTAAGGAATTTTTATGAATCCGGTAATATCGCAAAATTTTCAGCTCTAAACTGAAAGTTGTGTTATATGAATGTACATTGAAATTGTAATAAGTATAATTAAGATAATGATTTATGCAATATTAATTAAAACAATTAACTTATGTTTATTATCTGTTTTAAAAACTACTATATGTTAAAATGAATCAAAAAAGAAATGCGCGAATAGATACACAAATAGAGGACACATTGATAGATCTATCGTCCCTTGGAGAGGTATATTAATAGGGACAAAAACATTTTCTTTACTTTTATCAAAAACATTATAAAACATTAACATTAAAAAAAATATTATAAGAAAAAGAAATAATTGAAAAACCGATACTGATCTCAAGCAGACAAAATTAAAACTTCAATAATTAATAATTAATTTAGTAATGAGTAAGTTGGTTTAAAAGTTAATAGGGACAGTTACTCTACGGTGACCTAACGAACTTGGCGTTTATCGAGGCATCATCGTGCATTCGCGCATTTATCTCTCCTCAACATCTAGCACACGTTCCCCCATCGACGGGGCACAGCCTGCGATACGGACGCACGTATCTTTGTTCAGCGCGGGAAAGAGATCCGGGGTTTCTGGTTCCTGGACTACAGCTGAAAGTGAAAGGGAAACGAAACGAACGACGTGGCAGATAACGTAGCAAGGACGTCGACTGTAACTCGGCGGGCTACGCCATCGTTCCGCGGTCGTTGTCGTCCTCGAGGCCGCGCCGCGGCATATTCCTCGTAGACTCCCCCCGCATACCCTCTGACTCTCCTGGCGTTCCTAAAAATCAGCGCCGCTTGACTAGTCCCATATGTGCATTCTCCCGGCCTTTTCTTTTTCGCGTTCCTTCGTCTCTCCTTCTTGTCTCCTTCGTCCTCGCGTTTTTTCGTCTACGTCTCTCGATAAGAAGACGCGTCGCGGGATGTAACCGCGAAATGCGCTTCGCGAGAAAAGAGAGATTCATGAAATGAAAAGTACTTCAACTTGATTACACTAATAGTTAATTAAATTAATTAAACGCTTAATAGTTATCATGTTATTCATCAATTTTTTATATTATTCTGTTATCATTTAATATAAAATAAAATTATTATTTAATTATGAATATATAATAATTGACTTAATTATTAACATATTATTTATTAATATAGGGAGCTTTCCAGCAAGAAACACAAAGTGACAACAAGAATTATTCTGTCCAATAATCAGTAAGAAACAAAGATAAAATGAGTCAATTTGTGCCTCTGCAAAGCTCTCATAATATATTAATTATTAATATATAATGATTAAATTAATTATTGATTTAATGGACTTAGTTTTAATTTATATAATAATAACTTAATTTATACAATAATATCACATTTCTATTTGGTATAAATTAATTTTTTCACAATCCACAAAGAAAATTTTTTTTTTTTAGATTAAAAAGAATTAAGAAAATATTCTGTCAATAAAACCTTATTGATCGTTCTTGACCGATTTTTATTTTTCTTTTAGAATTCTCCCCGAGTCGTGTCGAAACTGTGAGGAAGTCGCATACCGTTAGCTACCAATTCGGAATAATAAGTTTCTGGGACGATGCACGCGATCGGGTGCGACGAACTGTTATTGCTTGCGAAAGGGAATGCGATTGATCGAAGACAGCTGGCAGTTAAGAGTTGAGTTTCTAATAATCAGTTATCCCTGTGGATTACGATACAAGCGTTGCGTTCGAGAATTATAATAAAAGATCCATCAAAATAAAAGACGGACTTGCCAATAATGAATTGTAAGCTTTCGTTTGTTAAAACTAATGAAATGTTTGTTTAACAGAATATCTATTTATCGAAGATAGTAAAGAACTTAAAGTTCAATTGGTATAATAAAATCAAATTTATAAAAAAAAAGGGTTAGAGAAAATCTGTTTAATAAAAATCCATTGATTAGGAATAAAGATCAGATTAGAAAAAGTTAAAATTTAACAATTATTAATTTGTGAAAGATTAATATTTTTGCATTTATTCTTATAAATATATTCTTAAACAGATTAAATTTTATGCAAGATTTTGTTATATAATGTGATAAATGTTTCTTCTATCAGGAAGGAATTGTTCCACAAGAAGTTTATTTATCTATCGCCAATCTTCTATCGAACTTTCGACGAGACAGGCTATGCAGCGGACTGCCACGCACGAGTAGATCGCCAGAGAATTTCGCTTCGCGAGTGTAAGCGTGAGTCACATGCGCTGAAGAGAGTCAGAGTTCTCGGAGGAACGCGAGGTCACGAGGAAAAGAACGACCTTGCCGGAGAGAATATATTTCGAGAATGGATTTTAACGCGACGATCGGCAGCCGAATCCAGTTCATCATCCTCGATCGTGAACGAACCTTTTTTCTCAGGACCACTCACATACGACCGTTTCTTCGCCAAGGAAGGAGAATCCTAGCAAATATCCATCATTTCTCACCGATTATGTATACACATCAAAATGCACTGTAAAGTAATTGGTATCGAACATTGATCGTTCGAATGATTTGTACTTATTTTTCATCGCGCAAATACATTTCTTTGTTTGTCCTGCTGTGATTTACTTAAGCTGCTGTTTTGGATTGGATTATGTAATAATATTTTTAATCTAAATTAGATATAATTACATTATATTATATGTAGATTTCGCTTGATTAAGTATTTTTACATAGTAAAAATATTAGGTATGGGAAAAAGTTCATGGCGTTCTTCCCATTAGATGGCATTAAAAAAACACCAACTTTTTCCCACACCTATTTTGTAGTTATGGGAAACAATCCATCTTGTTAAAATTTTATGGTGAATTTTTGATATATTTTTAATGTTAATTTAACATAATGTGATTATGTTATATATTTAAATATTTTGTGTTAAATTCAACATTTCTAGTGTCAAAGTAATATAATTTATAAGTAAGTGAAAAATAAGTTAAGAATAATGTATTTTAAATACACGCTAAAATAAATGAATGAAATACATGTTAATTAATTTTGCTAAAAAAATATTCTTCCACATCTATTTAAATTATCTGCATATAAATGTAGATATTAATTATTGGATAAATTGAATTTAATTTGTACGTTGTATCATTTTGAAAAGTTTCAACTTGCGATTTCGCGAGCATCCTTTTCGCGGCTAATTCTTTATTTTACATAATCGTATTATGTTAAATGATGCCAATATAAATCAGCAACACGCGTTACTTAAATTTATTCTAATTGTCAAGCTAATCTTAAATTTATTCAAAGCCTTTGCTCAAAGAACTTCTATTTTTAAACATTAACCTTTCTTTCAGCACAGCCGAGAGATTTCACTTTGCATAATTACATTTTATCAAGTTGTTCATAGATATGCGTCATTTAATAATTAAAATATATCAACTATTTTTCATCAATGATATCGATTAACAAAGTTGGGTTGACTTAACCAAATTATGTTCGTGCATTTCAATTATTACTAAAATTATACAATTCGGTTCGAACATCACAGGGAAGAAAAGGCTTACCTCGCAATCTCTTGAAAGATTCGCGATCGAATTTTCGAGCCAAAACGCAGCTCCGTTATGCTTTTTTAAATTCCCCTACGCAATCGCGGCAATTTGCGCGCAACTTCGCGAAATCGCGCGAAACTCTCCAACAACGGTGACGGTATCCCGCCTCATAATGCGCTTACTTTCTCTTCTTTTCTGCGTGTCATGCCACGGAACAGAAACAGTAACGAAATTCAACTTCTGTGACCGGAGATAGCCGCGCGATGCGATCTCGGATCCACGCAGGAAGTGAAAAGAAAAGCCAAGGATTTTCTCGCGGCTCTTCTCGCAAAAGAATCTCTCGATCCTATCGATCTATTATCCGCTCATATCACACACGTTCACAGATTTTTCTCACCGCGAAATCAAGCGATTCTGATCTAGTAGCGGTATCGATGACAGATTTTTATTGTGTAGCTCGTGTAATCAATTCTTTGACCTATATCGCGATAATATATCACTTGATACGTAAAAAAAAAGAAATTGATAGGTGAAAAATATCGAAAGAGACTTATTATTGGGAATTCGCTTACTGTTAATATCATAATTGCGCCGACTTTCTTTTAACTCGGAAGTAAAGATTGGTATTTAGTTCATTCTTATTACAAGACTTAAGTAATGTCTGAAGACGCTAATAATAACGTGATTGATAACTGTGATTGATTTATGACATCTTACTGTTCTGATATTTAAGATAGTCTTAACGTAAGAATTGACTGTGACCTAGTATTTTTATAGAAGCAAAAAGTATGAATATTTGTTATAAAATATTTCTTTTGTGAGTATTATTTAAGATATCTTTTCCTTTTTTAATATTTTTAATATTTTTATAAATTTTTTAAATATGCAATTCCATCGAAAACTAATGAAAAAGTGTTGCAGTAAGTAAAAGTGTTGCTCAGATAATTTATACAAAATTTCATTACAATGCAGGAACTATCCATACAGCACAGAATTTGCAGCAATATCGCTACAAAATCTTTGCAATGTTGCAGCAATGTGACTGCAAGGCTTTGTGCTGTAGGGGTAGTGGTTCTGTAAACAAACAAAACTTATTTATTTATTATTTATTTACAGAATAACTAGTCTCTGCATTGCAATGAAACTTTTCATATATAAATTATGTTGAATATTTAAAGTATTTATACTATAAATTGAGATTTTTGACAATGCTATTTAATTTTTAATAATAATTAAGGTAACTAAACTTAAAATATGTTGTTAAGTACAAATATAATGTTATTCATATACCTTTCGCGTATAATTTATTTAAATGTAAAGTACAAATATCGACACTCATTTTCAAATTCAATTTACTTTGCAGGAACTGTATGGATGATACAGCCTTAATCTTTGACAATGAAAGGTATCACGGCGGATCTATTGATCAATGACGCTCGACATAATGACGTCACTAAATTCTTCGAGTAAAATCTCATAAAAATCTCAAAAATCATCACGCGTTCGATGACAATCACGACGAGGCATTTCATCATTGAAGACGCCGCACTTCTTGGTTACGTTATCGCGCGTTTTTATCACCAGCTATTAACGCGATCGTGAGATCCGACACGGCGGATCACCATGCGCAATTGCACTCGGGATCGGCGATAGTGAAAGTAACGGGCGCAAGGTCATGTCGTTCCATAAATATGCAATTACCGCCTGTCGGGAGCCACGATCTCTCGCAATGCACCATCTTCTCGTCACGGAGATTCGCACGCCGCCCCCTTTCTCATCTTCCAAGACGATCAATGAAGTTCTAGGAGTAAATACGAGACCATTTCGACACACAGCACGTTCCCGTTACGGTATTGTTCCTTGAGTCCTTTCATTATCTTTCTGGACCATTTCTTAAGGAACTTCGATAAATATAATAACACATATATATTAATACTTTAAACAAACATATACATATGACTGTACTTATAATATTCTATTTTTATTATTTATTTATTTTATTTGTTATTATTTTTATTATTATAAAATTCAAAATATAAAGATCTCTAAATATTTTTGTATATTTTAGATATAGTATAAGTTTTCAAAATGACTTATGCAAAGTTTTATTGAAATTCACCGATTTGTTACGAAGATTTAGAACAAATAAATATTTTTAAATATTGTTTATTTAATGGACAATTAATTTTTGTATCATAAGGTAACTTTGTATAAATCATATTAAATACTTAAAGCATTTATATAAAAAAAAATCAAGATTTTTATGATTATTTTGTAATTTCCATAAATTTATATATCCTCAGTCTCTTTTAGCTTTACTATTTTTATATTATTTATTAAATTCTTATTCTCATCTCGTTTTGTAGGATCCTAAAAATCTCTAATAAATTTTATTCATAATAAACATAGATTTGTTCTAATATTAATAATTCTAATGACACAACTTTCGCGTTTCCATTATGCGATCTTGTTCGCTATAATATTATTACGTCTTTGTCTTCTGACACAGTCGAGCGCACAAAGTTCTCAACTTCTCATTTATAAGATTTTAGATAACCTATACAAACACCGCGCTATTTTAGTATGTTAGAAAATATAATTTAATTACTTTTATCCTCGATTTCCGAATTCTATGTTTTAGCCTGAAATCCCGAAAACATCGAAATTCCAGGCTTTCCGTATGGAAATTGTGAACGCATAGTTTTCGCGTAACAGCATAAAGGGGACACGCAACAAAACTACTTTCATTTCTGCTCGCGGCGATTAATAAGTAGGAAATTAACCTAGTAAAGCCGTGATTATGGCGTAAAGGATCTTGGTTAAATCATAATTCTATATTTTCTACAGTTCATGGTTTAATTCCTGAATTATCAAGTTTTTAATAATCCGAGAAGTTTGAAGATAGAGAGAATCCTTGAAAGACTTTTGATTCACCAGAATAGAGAGCCTTAATTATAATATAAGCAATATCAATTAAATCGCTACTGTGCTTCTATTTCCTAAAAAATATTCTTAAGATTAAAATATTAATATTTTTTTGTTAAAGAATCAAGTAATGAAAGATTTTGAACATATTTGGAGTTGCAAGAAGTCTTCGCCATTAAAAAAATACGAGATCATGATTTACACAATTTTATCAAAATTATATTAAGAATTACATTAAAAATGCTTTTAGAAATCGTAAAATAAAAAACTTTTGAATGTAATTATTTTCTTCGGAAATACTTTATTATTATAAGATATCAAATTTTAGTAAATTTAACAAAAGATGATTTATTATCAGAATATTTTTTATACACCTAAAGTACCTAGTAAAGTAAATAAAATAAGCTGACATTAAAAAAAAATTATAACAATAATATTAATAATAATAAATAGATAATAATATTTTAAAATAAGTAATAATTTAAAATAGTAGGAAATAAAATGTACCTCCTAAAAAGAGAACATTGACTAATGATTAATAAGCAGCAACTGCTAATTGAGCTTCAATGACACTCAAGTGTTAATAAACATGAAGCTAATGCTGATGCGGTAAATTGCTGAAAAGACAGAAGAAGAACAATAAGTAGTTTCATACTTGCTTGATTAAGCGATTCGCTTTCTACTGAATTCTTATCCTTGATATCTTCTCGATGCGGGTGATCATAGTCGACGGATGAAACTGAAGGATCACATCCGTTTCCTGGATCCACTTCACTGGGATGCTCAAGTCGATCGATGAGGACTAGCCTGGGTTTTCACTATACTTTCGCACGCTTTCTTTCGTTCTCTCTTCTCTCACTTGTGCAATATCCGTTTACGTCAATCGCGAGCAATGTGAGTGCCGTGAATGTCACCTGGTACTCCTGGACGATGAGAAAATTTTCGCGAAGACGACGACGACGACGATGATGGCGACGAAATCGCAAGATCGCCAGGATCGGTCAAGTGAAAGCGAAGTCGAGGTGAACGTCGGTCGAACGACGACTGCCGTGGTAATCGTCTACCAAGGTACCAAAGGCAAGTTCCCGAGGAGGGTCTCCCCCTGCCTGCCGATCGGTGGAGTACTTTCACGAGAGAGTAGGTAGTAGAGAGCGAGAGGCGAGAGTCGAGGCGAAGCAAAAGGAGATTTGAACGCATGAGACGCAGACTCGCGCCATCATCGTTCTCCATTCCAAGGAATACACAAGAGTCAACAAAAAATCAAAATGATTTAATTTTCATTCTTAATGTCAATAAACAGTTAAATTTTCTAAACCAAAAATCATTATTTTGACGTCTTGACTTTTATGATGTCAGAATAAAATCATCTTGACTTTTTTTGACTTGGTGACTTCCTGATCCTGTCGCGATTTTGGAAAAATTTCTATTAAATGATGGAAAAATCAACGTTTTTTTTACTTTTTTATCTGTTGGAAACCTTTTTTAGAGACAGATTAATGGGGTCGATTATCAGTTTCTCTTCGTATGCGAAAGACTTTCTTGAAACGTCAAAGTGCGACATGCTGTCTGCGGGCTAGCAACATGCCTCACGATCGTGCAAGATGTTTTGCCTATCCGCAAGAAGAACGATAGTTATGTGTATGCTTCTCAGAAAGTTTCCAGAAATATGTTTTATTCCCGAGAAGTGCGAAATGTTATAATTATTTGTGTCGCGTCGCTTTCAAAGTGGTTTCCTTGCGAAGCTTGGTGCAATAATGGCCATAAAAGATGATAGTTCGAAATAAAGATTTCCCAAAAGATTTTCTGAAAATTAAATTTTAAGTAATTTACTAAAGCTACTTACAAATCTTATTTTTCTTTTGATAAGCTTATAATTTGAGATTTGTGCATTCTATATGCGTTTCCTATTAATGACAACGTTATAAGTTAGTTGCTATTAAAAATAATTTTGTATAATAAATCTTTATAACATAACAATAATCATAAATAATAAAATAATAATATTAATACATAATAAATTTTATCTAGAGATATACGTGTCTCGGCGCTAAGACGGCGTGAGATACTGTCTTCTCCTTTATACGAGTTGCGCTAGATCGAGATTATCAGATCTCAATAGAACTGTTTTAAGTACACTTAATCGATAGCTTACATTCCGATTGTTATTATATGTGCTTTTATTTTTTCTCTACGTGCTCTACAATGGATATATTGCGACGCAAAATCCGGATCTGCTACTTACAGATTCAGATATGTCGTTTGTTATTATAGTATTTATTAATCAAATAGAAATAATTAAAGGAGATCGGATGCAAACGAAATTACGTGCTAGTATTTGTTAATGCAAACGAAATTGCATGCTGGTATTTGTTAATACAAAATACGTGATATCAATACAAACTTACATTTTTCAAAAATGGTAAAGAAAGATGCTAAGAATATGCTTCTCGAATAGAAATTAAGTGATATGTACCATTACGTATCTTTTTAACTTAACTAATCAAATTAAATTCTATTAAATTAAAAAGTAAAATCTAAGAGAACTATCTTTGTTATTTACTTAAGGGTTTCGAGTTTCCTAAAGCAAAACTCGAACTCAGACGAAATCATCAGAAGTCGCTGTTTTTTCAGCGCACTAACATGTCTATATACTACCACACCAATATCTCACGCAACCTATAATATATGCAGTCGCACGGTCGTGTCAATTTTCATATAACAAATTCGTTGCGATAATAAAGTGTGATAAATAAAGTCTAAGTTTATGCAGATAATCAAGTGTACATGTTATTATATTATAGCGTATTAACATTATACCTGTACTGTATACTGTTTAGATATATCATGGTACATAACTCGTACTGTATTAATACGACGTATCATTACTGACAAGAGAGAGAGAGATTGTGGAGATCTCTAGTCGAAGATGATAACTTGTACAACGTATGATCCCAACTAAAAATAGTTGTTATAATGTTAAAATTAAATATTAGACAGAAACTTATTGGATGTTCAGTTGAAATGCACAAATTTCTATTAGGATCATATATTGAACAGATGTAGATAGCAATACATCCATGATTATAAGTGTCCATGGATCATCGAAGTACAGCGATTTCCAGACGATTTCAGAAGTCAAGGATGGTGATATGCAATCGGATGGGTGACCGCTTCAAAGTACTATTACAGTTCCCGAATTTAGGGAAAAACGTTCTTTTTTATCATAATTTTTTGATATGTATTCTGGAATAAGATATTAATCAATAATAATACTCATTTTAGTAATAAAATTATAAAATTAATTAATTTTAGTAATATGCGTACCTAAGACATACATTATCGATACGACGTACCAAAAGTACAGTGTACCGGTACTGTAAGTTTTAAATAAGTTTTACGCACGTACGTGACAGATACGGTACACGTAGTACGCCATACGCTCACCATACCTGGAGATATTTTGCTATCTGAATAATTCTAAGGATTTGATGTTGTTTGTTGCAAAGTTTGTGGATGACTATTTCGTAAGCATAGGTTGCAAAATTTTCGTATCAAATGTTATCACGATTTGACAGCTTCAGTCATATAACACTAAGAAATGGTAAAAAAAGTATATCAATTTCGAAATTTTTGGTCGTTCTTGGCATAAACTCCGCCTCACAAACACGTATTAATGTATATATATTGTACTTTAATCCTGGAAAAGGATTTTCGAATTTATGAAAAAGAAAAAAAATATTTGTTATACAAAAATTATATGATTCAGTCGGTAATACAGACGATTTTAGGATCCCTTAGGATGATCCTAAAATCTCCTGTTTTATTACGTAAACACGTATAATTTTTATATTAGAAATACTTTTTTCCTCTTTCACCGATTCGAAAATCCTTTTCCAGGGTTAAAGTATATTCAGCAAATACAATAATGTAACACATATATCTTAAATACATGATATTAAATATTACGAAGTAACTAATTATATAGCAAGCAACATATATATGTATTACATATACTACAATACTAAATGTCAGCAACAAAAGTACTTCTCTGATCTATTTAAGATATGTATCAGAATACTTTAAATGTTCTATTTATGATAAATATGTAATACAACTCATATAATATTATAACACATACATTTTAAAAATGAAGGAAATATATGTATTTTAAGGAATATATACATTTCAAATACATTACAAGTAAAATATTTATGTTCAGATCAGATATGGAATAGCTCAATTAATGACAAGTCCAAAATACTGGCAATCCAATTTTAATTAAATATATGTGTGCTTTTTTAAAATGCATATTTATATGTATGTATTTTATTACACGTAAAATTTAATAAATAATAAATTATTATTATTTAATAAATAATAATTATCATTATAAAATCTAATACGTACATAAATATAGAAAAAAGCATAAATATATATATATATATATTAGATGTACTTTGCTTCCGTCGTTTTCCTATAGATGGCTTTAGCGGTAAGTGGTCGAAATAAATAGCTCATAGACGTCATACAATAAACTTGGGCATCTGTCAACCCCATAGAAACATTAGTCGATTTGTGTCTGCATCATAAAGTTATTCTTGATTGAAAATGTCAGTTTACGAGCCAAATTCTCGTCATTTGCGGGAGGCTTTAATTTTTTGCTTCAATATGAAGAAATCTGCGGCTGAGGCTCATCAAATGCTCTCAAATACTTATGGTCAGGCCGCTATTAGTGAAAAAACGTGTCGTGAGGGGTTTCAACGCTTCAAGAACGGTGATTTTGACGTCCAAGGTCATGCTTTGTATTTGGTGGGACCAGCGCGGCGTAGTGTATTATGAACTGTTAAAACCGACTGAAACAATTACAGGCGATCGGTATCGAACGCAATTGTTGCGTTTGAGCCGAGCATTGAAAGACAAACGGCCGCAATACAACGAGAGACACGATAAAGTGATTTTGCAGCTCGATCCCATGTTGCGAAAGTGATCAAGACATACTTGGAAACGTTGAAATGGGAAGTCCAACTCCACCCGCCGTATTCTCCAGATGTTGCTCCCTCTGACTTGTCATGTATCACTTGTTTCGATCAATGGCACACGGTCTGGTTGACCAGCACTTCCGGTCTTATGAAGAAGTAAAAAATTGGATCGATTCGTGGATAGCCTCAAAAGATGAGTTTTTTCGACGCGGGATTCGTACGCTACCTGAAAGTGGGAGAAAGTAGTGGCCAGCAATGGACAATACTTTGAATCATAAATGTATAACCAGTTTTTTACAATAAAGCCTCGAATTTCGGAAAAAAAACGGCGGAAGCAAAGTTGTACACCTAATAATAATTTTGTTCAACATTCAAATACTCTTTGAAATATTATAATACATATTCCGAAGATTTATATATGTATATAGAATATGTCTACCTTTAATTATGTTATAAATTATACATAATTATATAAATTTTTACATAATTTTGTATATTGATGTATTTATACATATACATGTGATTACATGTGAAAAAAATTTTTTTTAACGGGAGACTATAAATAGACAATAATCCAGTTAAGTATAAAATTGTACAATAATTTTTACTTGTTATAATAACAAGTAGAAAACTTTTTTATAATTTTTATAATTTAATCTAGTAAAAAACTTAATAGTTTTAGGAATTAGCGCTATAGAAGTGCGCGATAAATATCAATGTTAACATTTAATCAAGTATCTGACTTTTAATTAGAACAAATAGTTACAAAATTTTATTTAATAATCGCTTGCAAACATGTTTCGATTAATTTTTTAGCTATCTTCAGTTTATACTACGTTCGACGAGATAGATGCATTCAGTATATAATGTTCATCGTGTGTTTATATCAATAATCTCTGTGAGATAGTCAATTTTTCATTTTGAGACTCAGTTGGAGCTAATTAGGTGTTTGAATAATTATGCATCTCCATCGAAATATTGTGGTCGATCATATAAAAGATCTTGCCAAATTTTAAAATTCAATTGTTTTCGACAATGAGATTTATTC